GCAGGAATGACAAGTAGTTGTGTGAAAGATGGATGAGTGGGTGGGTGCACTGATGGCTCATCAATCTGTTTTAGTTACCGAGGTAAACTGTTACTGAGCAAAATTCAAACCTCGTAACTGTCATTTCCCTAGAAGCAGAACTTACATTACATCTGGCAGGAGGAATGGGCAGTAATTCAGCATTTAAGAAGCTCGTGGGAGGGATCGCGAAACGTTTGACCCAAGTTAACCAATTTAAAGGCAGTGCTACCAAATACGAACTGGGCGTATGCAAACTTCTGACTTCAACTGTATTTTGTAGGGATAGAGATTTTATAGTCGGGCTGAAGAAAACGGTGAAGAGAAAGCTATTAACACGGTCGGCTAACTTATGTGTAACAGCTTGTTTGTATGAGAGAAAGAGGTGGAATGTCACCAACTTGTTGTGTAACCATTAATCCCCTTGGTATACCTATTCAGAATTTATTCAGCATGCCAGGCTAGAACAAAGCCACTGTGTTAGAGAGCTTGTTCGCCTTTATAGGTAAATTCTAAGTCAGGGGTTTGTTGATAATTGCAAGACAAGCTTTGCCAAGACCCCAGTTAAAGTAACTGTTTTGGATTTGCCTTTTGGTCTACTGATTTTTAGATTTTTATCATGTGGTTTTCTTTGTTCTGTCAGTAATGTATACACTGCTGCAATGATAATTACTTTCTTATAAAAGAAATCTCTAACCTCAGTGGGGCTTAAAGGATAAGGGCGGTCATTTTCTATATTTGCCCATGTGCGAGACCTCAGTTGAGACTTGCTACCTCAGACAGTGTAAAAACTTACGGCCATTTGGGGCCTTTGAGGCAACATTTTTATCGTCTGGTGTTTTGTAAAGGACGCATGTGTCACCCAGGGCAGAGGTGTGTTTTACTGATTTGTTTTTGAACAACAACAGAGGTCCATGGCACAGATGAATAAACTAATCTGGGTTGACTGACAAACATTAACCGTGAGTAGAGGCAGTTCGCTGTTGGTTTTAGTCTCTCTATGGAGATTGTAGAAAATGACCAACCTTGTCCTTTAACCTGGTTAAAATAAAGGTTAAATTTGAAATTCTGTAGTCATAGTAATGGGTTAAAATTAATTAATATAACTTATAGGATAATAATTGTAACAGTCATTATAAACACACTTTTTTCTGTAAATAATACTTTTGATTGCTCTGTTCTGTTAAATCATAAATCTGTTGTTTAAAAGCTGCTTCCACCTTCTTGTCTCGGTCTGAAAATGTGTCCATAGTTCAATGTGGCATGGGTTTTTGTGTGTAGATGCATAGTACTACACCTGAACCAGGTGAGCTTTGTGTTTTAGAATAGTGCAGTATTTCCAGAAAAAAAAGCACATGCTGAACTAAGCCTTCAATAGTTTAAAACTAGTGTGAAACTAGAAACAATGGGTGTCCGCTGAGATGAGATCCATGTTCCTTAGTTCTGGGTCGCTGTGAGAGAGGGAGGCCAGCGGGGAGGAAGGAAGAGGCCTCTGTGTATATGTGTGTGCACAAGAAAGAAGGGTGATGTGTTTAGGAGGATGTGTTTGTAAAGCACAGTAGAGTGGGTGTTTGAGTATGTGTATGTGCTGTGTTTGTTTTGTAGTTGTGGCTTGTGTGGGGGATTGAAGTGATGAGAGATGTGGGGTGGGGTGGGGGGGTAACATCTGTTGTGAGTTTGTACATTACTCAAGTTTTGAAGAGTATTAGAAGTTAGAAAAGGCCCTGCATAGTGGCACAGAGGTCGGGCATGACTTTGGGGTTAAATTGGGGCTCAGCAAACAAACGTAGTCTACACTGGTTTTAATCATGACTCCACCTGCTTGAACACATTCTCTTCTCACCAAGTTGGAGTACAAGACTGAAAAAGATATTTTTTTCTTTTGTGACACTGAAATTAAGTTTAAAAAAAAAAAGCTGGCTCATACACAAGTATCGAGTTAGGTCTGACAGCTCATGTATATTTTGTCTGACTCATTTATGATGTGTGTGTGCGTGTGGTTGTATGTAAATGCACAATAAAGCTCAGCCACACCCAGCTGGTTGAGTTTTCAGTTAGACAGCCCCAGGATGTTTTTCTCTACGTTTTCCACACAAACCATATAATGTGCTGACAGTCATACTGACGTTATATTCATCTGTGGTGAAGATACTAATTTCCTCCATCCCTCAGGCCCGCCACTTCTTTTAACTTCTATCCTTTGTGTGTTGACCTTATTTTGCACTTACATATTCCCTGATTGTGTTCAACACACTTTTTATACTGATAAAGCCATTTGCTGCAACTAGTCAATTCATTGATTAAAAGTTAACAGAAAACTATTTTGAAGCAAATATCAGTTACATTTTCTGCTTACACCTTCTTTAATATGAGGAACTAATGCTTTTCTTAGTCAGACATGATAATTAACTAAACATCTTTGGATTTGTTGGTTGGACAAACGACATTTGAAGACACCACCTCTGACTCTGGAAAATCAAAATGGGCATTTTTTGCTATGTTGTGAAAAAAATTATTTTAATTTCCACTTATTTATTTGGAATTTTCCTTTAAATTGTCAACCATTTTTATCAGTCCTTTACTGAGGACAGATCTTCATTAGCCCATCCCAAGCACCAGGGGGCAGAAGTGAACCACTGAGAAAGCGAGGACACTCCACTGGGCCTTGATAACTTTCATATCCATGAAAATCAAGACGGTGAAACTTGTTTTTCCTTTCTTTTATGCAGTAACTACAGGTCATTTACAGGCATTATCTCTGATTGCATATAGAATGCGCTGACTGTAGAATATATGCTTCCAATATACTTTTACCATATCTATATAATGTATCTTTGTCATTTTTTAAAATTAATCCTATGAAACCTCAAAATCCAACCCAGAATCTTTAAATATTTATCTTTCAGTGAGAACTAAGTAGCAAACCTTCATTTTTGAGTGGCTGAAATCTGCACAACTTAAAAAAGAGAGTTACAACCCCATAAAGAGAAGCATAGCATAGATTACTTATTATTTACACTTCTGGACCCTTGTGTTTGTCCCTCCTATTAGTCTGCTTTTAGGTTTGTGCGTCTCTTTTCATTTGCCCCTTTCTTTTTTCATCTCATTGCTTGTGGATCTATAAACAATCACTGCATTATTCCCAGTCTGACTGACCTGAGATAAGGTAACCTTGACCTATTTTTTTATAGCACCTTTACTCTTCACAGTAATCACTTTATAATGATATCCTTAACAAAACTGCAGCAGTGAGACTTTTTATACTGTTTCCTCGTTCGTATCCTTCCTAAACATTTGCACGGGATTACTACAGCTCTCCGGGTCGGTCTGCCTCCCCTCTTCCTGTGCGTTTGGAGAGGCTGATCTTGTGCGTAAAACATCCCTGATATTTGAAGCGCTCAAAGGATTTAGCGAGCATGCCCAGTGCGCCCCTCTCAGCACCAGAGGAAACCACTGGTGCAGCATAGGAGTCATACCAAGCATAGCCTGCGTGTCAGTGCAGTCGACTTACAGCTGGCTGTGAGGAGAGCTGACGCTACTCTTTTTATCCGCTCTTTATCGCCGAAAACATTCACCCGTATTTCCAAACAAGTGTCATAAACTCAGTAGAATAACTAGGGGAATCCGGTTTCTGTTATTTCAGCGTGTTTTATGTTATTAAGGGGGTTAGTAGAGAACTAAGTTGGAGGCTGGGCCTTTAGTTTTTTGACCATCGCTTGAGCGGAGAAGGGAAAAAGCTGGTCGTCTTCTTCTTTTTTTTGTTTATGTAAAAAAGTCGATAAATGCTACTAACGAAAATGGACCTGTTAAACTACCAGTACCTGGACAAAATGAACAACAACATTGGCATCCTCTGCTACGAAGGTAAAGTGAAATGTTTGAGCTGTTTGTTGTTTTTAAAACGTTGCGCCGTGAATTAACGCTATTGGCTGTTCCTTTTCATTGGAGTTGCCTTAACTATTAGTTTCTCCAAGCCAGGGTGTAGGTTTTAGTAACTACATGGTAGTTAACTTGAATTTCCGCGCGACTGAAACTGGTTATAACTTTTCAACCGTTCGAACTTGACATTATTTAACACAATTCATTCAATCAAAGTCTATAGTTGCGCGTTATCTGAACGACTGGAAGTCTGTTTATTAGCCAGTCTTACCATTTTCTGTGTTATTGACAGCTTCTCTAAAGGGAAAGATGTGTGTAATTGTTGAAATCAAAGGCTGAAATAACAGATGTGTGAATTTCACACATCTCCCAGAGCTGTCTCACTCTGTAATGCCAACTCTGTTATTCATATCAACCTTTTGCTTCCCTAACTTTTTTCATTTGGTTAAATGCATTCCTTTAGTTGAATCAGATCGCAGTCCAATATAACAAACAGGAAGTTGCTTTTGAAAATCTGTCTTAATGATAAGAGCTGGGGTTTCTCTTCTGTCTCTGTGGACTCAAGCGGTTTCTATCATTGACAGCCTAGAATTTCATGTTGTGTCAGGAGCTGCCCTATCTGCAAAGTGCTGGCTTTGGAGTAGTGCAACTTCTCTCCACTGTTGGTGCTCACATGTCAGGCATTGTAACGCCATCCGGTCCTTCCTCTCTTGTCCCTAGCTCCCACTGTAGCATACGGAATCCACGCCAGCACTGACAAAACATTTCTTTAACTTTGCAAATAGGTTTGAAGCTGTCCAACTGACATACAGTTGAATTTTTCAGATTTTAACATGAACTGCAGCCAATTCTGACTTTTCAAGTAAGAGATTCTACAAGGGCCTGGTGACGAATGATTAATCTTCATCTGAAGTTGACTTATACAAAAGCTGCAGTAACACAAGGGGAAAGCATTTTTATGATGGACTGATCAACAGACCTCATCTCCTCCACGGTTAGCAGCTTATCTCTGCATGTGATCTAAAATGAACTTGAAGCATTGTGCGACTGAAAATCATTTTGCAGATTTGCAGAGAAGTTTCTAGGCAGATGGTCAAGTATCATTTTAATGGAGCAAAAAGAAGAGTAGCCACCTTTCAACATGATAAATGCAGAGAGGGGTTTCTGTGCTTAGGCTGACTTTACTGAAACTACTAGCGGCAGAAGCACAAGAGGCTTTTATTAGTGGCTGAGCATGTGATTAAAGGCTCTGTCAACAGAGGTATATTTTTGTCTGTTTCTAAATCTTTGGAAAAAAGCGTTGTGTTGCTGTAAGTCATGTTTTGGCAAACTGCAGGTACGGTTCTTGCTTTTAGGCATGCAACTTTTCAAGTTTTTCACAGCAGTTTAAGCCCACATACCATGGTTGTGAAATTTTAGTGAGATTTTTTTTTTTTTAAGCTCACTCTTCTGTGCAGTGATGGTGTAGCAGATAAGACTGCCACTGGTCTGGGAATGAAGCCAGTCAGGAGGGGGGAAGGGGTCTGTGTCACTGCAAAGCTTCATCTTTCTCATCTTTCATCATGTCTGTCTAGCCATCAAAATAGAGCAGCGAATAGAAGGTCTGCTTTTCAGTGGTATTTTTATACTTGTATATCCTCTGGGTGTCTCTTGGACATGATGAATTTAGACACAAGGCTTTATTTCTGTCTCTGGAAGCACATCCCCGCAGGATTAGACTTTTTTTTGTAGGGGGGGTCTTTTAGCTGACAAAGCTAAAATCTGACTATGATGTGCCTCATGATAAGAAAACAAAGAAGAAAAAAAAAACAGGGAAAAGGGCCAATCAGTAAAAATAATGAAAGAAAAGCCCTTCATGTTCAAACATGTTGAGCCAAGAAGGGGCTGGAGGAGCTTTGTGACATTGTGAGTGTGCTGGCTTGTTAATCTGTTCATGCTCATATGTTGTCCTGAGAGCTTCAGTTCTTTTTGGAAGCTTTCACACATCTGTCATGATCATCATTTATTACAATGCAGATGTGACACTTCGCCAGTTATCTGCACTCTCACCCTTAATTACTGTTAGGTGTGTTAATATGTGGCCTATTTTAAAAATGCCTACCTTTTCTATACCTCGTGTTATAGTCAAAACATACACACTACAAAATCCGATGCCTTTCAAAAACCATATTAAAGCCAGGTTCAAAGCTTTGAATAGTTTGCACTACCTGACCACTCAAGTAACCCGAGCTTTGGTAATTTGTTTGAGGATCAGATACTGTAGATCTTTGTAAGGAAGTTAAGTGTTGTGTTTTTGGGCAAAGGTAAGTGTAATACACTGATCTTCATAGTATATTAAGGTTGATAGCAATTCCAGGTATCTTAATTTGGTTTTGGTAACACTGGGCCTCAAGGTTAGTAGCCTATGATTAAGGATAAGTGCCATTCATCCTCAGCTTCTGTTCTTTCCTGTCTGCCTCGACTCTTCTACCTGGGTGCCTTTACTCTTCTCAGTTCAGGGTTTAGAACAATCACATTTCTTTTATGTGTTGTACTCCTGATAAACAATGAGAAACCATTCTGGAAAGTCATGTTAAATGATAACCAACCCTATGCATACATAAGAGATTTCAACTACTTACCAGCAATAGCGAAGTCATATATCGCAGCTGTTCTTGAGGTGCTGGCAGTCAGTGATAATGATGCCAGGGAGCATGGCAGCAAAGGAGGCCTGGAGACAAACCATGCTGTCATAATATTACATTAACATTGCTGTTACAATAACAGATGTTGGAAGTCCATTGATTTGCTCATCAACAACACAAAATTACCCACAGGGACAGCTTGGGAAACAGTTGCTAACTTTAGACTCCAATCTCCTGCCGTACCGCACCAACTGATTGCTCCCATTTAATAACAAATCATTTTGTTTCCCAGTCATATTAAACTGTAATTGTTGGTTTTAGGCAGTCGTGTGATTGATTTGATCTCAGCCTCTGTTGGAGAAAGTGTAAGACAGGTTTGCAGTGCTCCTGTTTGTCCATACGTTCATCTCTCTCTCTCTGGGTCTCCCTTTCTATTTGTGTAAAGCAGTTATCAGTTGTAGCCCTGGCAGTGAGAGCTGCAGGGGAATGCTGACTGCTCCTTTTTGCTGCTGAGCAAGTGAAAATAAATGAGGATGAAAACCTCCTCAAAGCCATGTACTTTTATCAACCCGTCTCCCTGTTTGTCTGTTACCTTGCCCTGCTTTTCTTTTTCTGTCAGAGATCAAAGCAGCTGTAACATCTCATTTAAAAGGTCACGGACAAGAACGTTTATGGAGCTTTTTTAGTGTGTCCTTTTGGATATTTTAAAGCATAAACCGTCTACAAATGTAACAAACAAAAGCACCCCACAAGACTGAGTTCAGGTTACTGAGAAACTCAGTCAAAAATAATTCTTTTGCTGCTTTGCAGAGAGAGACAAGCACATGCAAGGACTCATCTTTTTTTTTTTTAGTATCTGAACAGGAGAAGAGGAAAAGGAGAGGGAAATGGAAATACAGAGAAGTTCACCTCCGTTTGTAATCCAATCTCATCCTGATTCGAAGCTGTTTGAAGTTCTGTCAAGAGAAATAGGCTTTGATCATGTGGACCTAATGAACTGAGAGAGCAAAGAGGGGAAAGGAGAGAACGGAGTTGAGTGGAGCTGGTTTAACAAAGAAATGTTGTGTGCTGGTTATATGCTGAACAAATGGATACATATAAATATGACTAGAAACTGCTGTACTCTAAGTTGGTATTTCCAATACATACAGAATAGGCTGTAGCTGTTTTATGTATATTCTCGTACTTGTCGTCTTTCACTGGTCCCATCTGTCTTTTCATTTGAGGGTAAATTGCTCAGAATTGCATAGAATATTTTGGGCCTTTCTAACATTGTCTTACTGTCCTTCTGCCTATTTTTACTCTTTACTTTGCCTGCTCCTGGTCACATATCATGTTCAGCCATACTTTTACTATAACAGAAACATGAATGCACACATTTTATTATTAAAAGTCCCATCATCATTTCTAAACATTTGTCATCATCTGAACTGAACCTCAAAACCACAGTGAATGTAGAATTTGTTACAGGGCTGAATTAGTTTCAGGCATGTGTACATAGTAACTGGCAGCTGAGCGTGATGCTGCTCAGGTTTGTTGTTGAGCAGCAGCTAGGTCAGCAGTATTTAACTTTATACCCTCAAATATCTTATTTGTTTGCAGGGGAGACAGTGACAGATTCCCCCCGGCTGAGCCCTTCACTCATGAACATCTGATAAGCTGTTATGTGTCCTGGATCCTGATTGGACAGTGTGGTGTGTTACAGTCTCCCTTCCCTTATTGCCACCCCCCTGTCCTGCCAGTACAATGATGTCACCCTTGTTGCCATGGTACACAGTGGGGCAAGCAGGAACATGCCAGCGAGAGAGGAGGAGGAGGAGGAGCTGGGGCAGTGTTTTGGAGGCCATGCTAAAACTGAACATACAGTGTACTGGGAATGTTGGTAGAACGGAGCACACATTTTATTGCATTACAGACCTCTGTGTATGTGTGCATGTGAATATAAAACAATATATTTTAAAATCAGCTTAAACTGGTTTATACTCAGACTCGATGATTTCATGCAGTGCCTAAAATGACATGAAATGAAGCAACCAACTGGCGTTGCATAACAGGGGATTGGTGTTTACTATTAACTTGTTGTTGCTATAGGAGTATGAAGAAAGCTGCAACTGGGAGTTTTAGTTTAGGCTTTATGTTTTGTTTGGGAAAAGTCAGACAGATACAGAGGCCAAAGCAGTGGAAAGTCCCCATGCTTAGACAGAGCCAGTGGTAGTTTTCCTGGTTCTTTTTTGCTCTTACTCCCACTCACTGACGACTCTGTAAGCCTTCTGTGCCAGGACAGGACTCGAGGGAAGGAGAGAAATAGTTCACTTTCACACGCGCGCACACACACACACACACACACACACATATATATATGCAGAACCCATCCACAACTATTTCTTTCAAAACATTCATAACCAGATACTCCTCTGCTTATGCCAGAGGTTTTTGCTTCTCTCACCAAAATGTATAAGTCAACAAAATCCAAAGTTTGAGCTGAAACAGCCTGTATAGTAAATCACAGTCATGAAGGTGTTGTGGTCAGAAGGGGGAATAAAACCGTTGCCTTCTACATGAACATACCATACTTTTCACTGACTGTCTTCATTTACTGTACATTTATGACTAAGCATGCCTTTTGTTTCCTCCCTCCTTGTCCTCCTTCCTAAGGTGAAACAGCTTTGAGAGTGGACCCCAGACTCCAGTCCCTGTCTCTATCCTCATCTTCCTCCTCCTCGTCCTCCTGTTCGTCATCCTCCTCCTCATCTTCTTCCTCCATCTCCAGCCACAGGACAGGTCCTCCTCCCATAAGCCCCACCAAGAGGAAGCTGAGCGGGGACCAGGGTGACAGCGACATGGACGACAACGAGCATGTAGCAAAGATAAACCGAATGTTTGCGGCACAGCTGTGAGTACACACACTGTGACACCCTCACTTGTAGCTGCAGGAGCGAACGGGCACTCGCACACATTATAATAAAATCCATCATGGAGACAGTGATGTAGTTATTTCTAGATACTAATTTCCTAAGGTGCTAGTAAAAAATATGGACCTCTACTTTTCTATATCTGTACCTTTTCCTTTTCTGTTCGTCTTTCTCTCACTCACACACAACCACAAACATGCCACCTTGTGTCTTAGGTGCAACAAATACACACATAATGAACAGTTTTTAAAAGAAGTCACTTTTTTACTTGTGTAAGCAAGTATTTCTGTTGGCCATGTGTTTGCGGGCTCCTCGCTTGGTGAGGTTGTACACAGGCAGGCTTTCTCAGAAGTCTCAGTTTGGACTCCAGGGTGCTGTGCCAGGTTTAGCTGGCTCTACAGTCCTCTCCTTATAGTCACACATCTATGGAAGCTTGGAAACAGGGACTGCACAACAGAAAGATTACTCACATCTCCAGCGTTCCCACATTCCCAGTTCCAGAGATTCCAGAGATTCTGGAACATCGATTGGTGGTGAAGGACTGCTGGGGCTGGAGGCAGTGAACTCAGTCATGGGACTCTGGGACTCTAGCCATTGCTATTTATTGCCGAGACGGTCACTTAAGTGTTAGGTAGAGCTGTGCAGTTTTATATGCTAGCTCTTTAGCAGTATGCCCTGTTGCTGAAAACACAGATAAGATCCAGAATTAATGGTTGGTGTTGTTTTTATGTCACTTAGTTTCATCACAATCGCCCGTTTGTCACCCACATGGATGTGATGTGACACAGTGGAACACAAAAGATGGCACACTAGAAGCCCTGATTAAGAATAGTTACTGGCAGTGTGCAGGGTATGTGTAGCTAAGCATGTACAAACACACAGCTGCATTATCCAGTTATTTCTGTACATCTGCACGTGCACATTTGCACATGTGGAAACAAAATCAACTGAGCAAATAGTTGAAGTGAGCTCACTTACCAGTTTTAGACCTTAATGATAAATCTGAATGGTTGTCAGATTTGAACCCGAGTGGAAATGTCAAAGTGTCCACAGACGTTTCTGGAATTGCTCCTGTAGTATAATCTACACCTTTGTCAGTTACCTGCATGTTCTCCGTCACACCATTTCTTTAAATCTAGTTGAACTAGTGGCACGAGAGAATAAGTCTTTGTACCTTGTGACCCTTTGGGCTTACATAACAAAGAATTAGCTTGTGCATCCTTACATTTGTGCAGAGTCATCTTGTTTTTTGTGTTATTGTGGGAGACTTGCCATTACATTCTCTGATATTTTTCATGCGGCTAACTTGTGCATCCACATGCTCCTACTCATATATCATAAGTTGGACTTTACTTGTAAGTTGGTGTGCCAACATACAATAGGACTTAATGTCATATCAGCTTTCAGTTGGTGTTGCAACTTCGTTCCAAAGCTCTTTAATGCAACCATTTTGTGTGGTTCGAATTAGGTGCTGTAAAAGCAAAGCTGATGCACTTTTTTTTTTTTTAAGTCTTATGTTTAAGGCTTTTTAAACTGCTCACTGAACTGTGAATAGAAGTAACCTGTGATAAACTGTAATCTCTTTATTTAATGTTCATTTTCATTATGACCTTGAAGTCATTTGACTCTTGTTTGAGGTTAATTTCTTCCCAAGAGAAGTTTAATTGCTAGCTGGCTCCCTGCAACTTGAAGCTAAATTCAGGGCTTTCTAGTTCACAAAGCTTCATAAAGCTTTTTTTTTTCATCCAGGAAACCTGTTTTCCTCAAGGCCATCCTAAAAGTGTCTTATTTTTAGTCACTTAATTTGAGGTTTCTCTGAGGGCATTCTTTTCCTGCAAAGCTGTGAGACTTGTTGAAACCTGCAGTCTGTCAGCCTCTGAAAAGTTTCCCTACTTGTTTCCACCACTGTTGTGCGTGTCCGAAGAACAGTGATTATACTGAAGGGGAGAATGATGGGGTGTCGTTACAAAAAAAGGTTAAGCTAAAAACAGTGAGGGAAAAATGCCCTCCTTTACAGTCGACTCCTCTTTATTTAACATGCATGAGCTTTCTGCTTTATTTAACTCCTCTGTCAATTCTAAATACAGTGATTAGGCTTAATTTGAAAATGACAGATTTAATTCTCGGGGAAAAGCTAGACTGACGGTCAGAAAATGAACTCCTGCAACCCTTCACCACATGCGCACACACACACACACTGGGCGTAGATGTCCAGAGATGGTGATCTGACACCATTCTATGCTGCTGGATTTTGCTGGCTGCTTCTGTCTGTGTAGCTTGTTTTCTTTGTCTGGTTTGGTCAATGCTGATTGTTCCTGCATGTTTAGAAGCTTTTGTGTTGCTTCTCTTCTTTTTCCTGCGATGCTTGAATGGACAGTTTTCCTGAGTGTTGACCATATCGCTTGTTCAGACTTATTTTCTGTGAGCGTGGACACCTGACACCTCCGACTCAGGGTGGGGTTACAAAGGTGGAAGCTCAGGTTCCCTTTGTTGTCCAATCACAGGCCAGACTGAGAAAGAAAACGTAACCAACTGATGGGCGGCTTTAAAATGCAAGATAATTCAACTGATTATACTTTTGTCAGCAGCCTGTGTGTTTAAGAATGGGTTTGAGAATATTTTTCTCAGAAGTGTTGTGTTTTAACAATGTCTCTTATTATTGCTTTTGCTGTAAAGTCAATTAAAATCTGTAGGTAACACAGTACAGAAAACATTATGGGATGATAAATTCTACATAAGAAGGTATAATTAAAAATATTGGCAGTTCTGGTGGCAGACTGATATGTGGAGATCTGCATGTGTCACTGTTTGTACTGTGCATGGGTGCTTGTCCATCTGTGATCATCTGTGTGTAGTGAGTGGGCTTCTTGTTAGGCAGCAGGGGCTACTTTCTCATTTTCTGTCGGGAGTAGGAGGAGTCTTGAACAAAGAAGCCTTATCCTGCTCACTGGGGCCTGTGGGCTGGAAGCTTGCTGCTGCCTGCTTGCTTGCCCGCCACTCTGCAGCTGCAGGCCCGCCAGTATAGAAGTGCTCTTGCTCAGCTGTTTTCATTTTGTTGTAAAAATAAGAGCCATTAACAGAATAAGGTTATATGGAGGCTTGCAACTGTGGAATATAACTTGACGATTCAGTGGGCACTGAGTTTGATTTCCTGAGACATAAAGCCGGGGAATTATACAAGTAAAAGTAATTAATAATTAATCATCCGTCATTGCAACTTTTGTGTTTTTTTTCAAAATATTGTGAATAGTATTTTTCTGCAGAAAGTTACGACCACGATGAGTTGCAGTGATGTAAGATTTTCCACAAACAGTGCTTGGTAGTCGGTGCTTCGAGCAAATGTTCTCTTTTCGTGTTCGTGTTCTTGGTCACGCTCCTTAGTCTGCTAATAAGGATGAAGTGCCATTTCTTTTCACTTCGTTAGAGTAGCTGAAGAAATATGGACAACAATTCAGAGAACTGAAATCAAGCTATGCTTTCCACAGTAGTACATACATTACTACATTTTGGCCACATTCATGCCAAAAGCAAAATCCAGTGAAATCAGTTTGTAGCAGTAGGCAGAGTACTGTAGCATACAGAAACTACAGCTGCTTTCTACTGGGAACTTCATCAGTAAGTTGTTCTCATGAAAGTTTCTCCAGAGGCCAAATGGGGAGAAAATAAGAGAGGAAGTGTGTGTGTGTGTGTGTGTGTATGTTGGAGGGGGGCAAGGCTGGTGAAGTCATTGTTACCCTCTTGTTTTACATGGGACTATACTTGTAGTGTGTGAACATGTGAGAAAAGACAAGGAGGGAGACCATGTGGGTGTGTGTGGGGGTTTTTTTCTTAATGTGCGTGTTGTTTTCTTTGCTTTCTTCTTATGGTTGTTCCCATATCCGATCTGTCCCAGCTTTGATAACAAAGGGGTTTCTTCAGTTCTCTTTGTCTGCAGTCACTTAACTGGCAAATATGTGCTTGATTTCTTTCAGTATTTCTGTATGAGTGAAAATCAGAGAGCTGTTTGGAAATGGTGCGAAGGTCTGTCTTACTTGCTTCTGATGAGCATATATAAGACTTAATATTTTCATTGCATGTTGTAGCTACGTTGCTGAGTCTTACTAGATTTATCACTGCAATAGTCTCACATCTGTTGAGGTGTATTTCCTCTGGGTTTTCACTCCTCTATTTTTAAAGGATACAAATATTATTGCTAACATTTGCTCAGTCCCAGTACTACAGCCTGGCCTGAGCAGAGTAAACTGTGTTGAGGTGTTTGTATACTTTATATACATAGCCACCATAAGCCCTGTGGCTCACTTGCTGTGTGTGTATCCATTTTGTGGCTTTCTGCAGACCTCACAGAGCTTGGGCCGGGTTGTTACCTGTGGTTGAGCCTTAATCCTCCTCCTCTGCTTTTTTATTTTTTGTCATCTTCTCCTCTCTGCACCCTGATTCTTCCCAGATGTTTCCTGTATGTGTCTCTCTCTCTCTCTCTCTTCTCAGTTTTTTTTATTTGTTTCTTAAAGGAGTAGGACATGAACCTCTGTCTAACCAAAGATTTGTATTGAGGCTTGCTCTGGAGTATAATTGTGTGAAAAAGGCTAGAAGGATTATAGTTCCTGTATCTTTGCCTAAAAGACACAGGACTTTTCTGTAGAGCTAAACACTTTTGAACGCTAAACCAGATTTTTAAAGTCCTCGGTTCATAAATTTATATTCATTTTAATACGTTTTCAAATTTTACAAGAATACAGGTTTGCAGCATGTTTTTTCCCTCCTTCTTTTAAGTAATTCAAACATGATCACAGCTGTGAGTTTGAACTTGAGGTTAACTTGAAGACAGGTTATTTTGTGAATGGTTACTTAAAAGGCTGTACTTAATGACATATCTGAGTAGTGCAATATTGTTCATGATATCTGACTATATCATTTATGTATCAAGGGTTAGACTCTGGGTTTTAAATTCAGTGAATGCCCACCACTAATGCCAGGCTGCACTTAACCCAGGCTCTAGTAAAACAGATTCATATAGAAATCTTTGTGTGAAGCTGTCCATTCTGATGTTAGTCATATGGTTCCCATACATCAGTCAGCTGGAGAAAAAATGTCAGCAATAGTTTCACTCCTCTCCAATCTTTGAACTTAATATTTCAATCAAAATATAAATGACACAATCTTGTTTTTAGTGTTACAAAATAATTTAAAGATAAATTGTTCAAATTTTTTCTGATGTGTTTGAATGCGGTGATCAAAACAAACAGTTCAACAGTCAGTCTAGTACTGTCATGAACATTTTTCTAAAATAATTTTAGAAAAATGTAGCATATTAGGTAGGCTGTGTCTTCCAGTGTGTTCACATTCTGTGAATGCAACTTGCATATTAAAATCCACCGAGATGGCGACCTAGCTCTGTAAGAGTAGTGGTAAATCTTGCTATGTAAAGTGCCCTGAGATGGTTTTTGTCGTGATTTGGCAATTCGTAGCAACACTGCTATGTTGTTGATTAATATTTAAAACTTATTGGGACACACCAACCAATCAGATGCATTATACTGTACTGTAAAACATTTTCCATTAAGATTACAAATGAATTATCAGAAAATGTTTGACTAAGAGAATCTGACTAGAGTTCACATGTAATTGACAAACAACCTCTAGCTACGAGGTGAAGCATCATCGAAATCGTATGGAAGTAGAAACACTCACTAATCTCTTTTAAACATCAAAAACAGTTCAGTCTTTTTCCTTTGAAATGTCACAGTGCTATGTGTTTTCTCCACGAAACCCCCTTTGGCTAAGGGTTAATGGAAGACGCATTCACTCCCTGCTATATATTGCTTTTGCTGTTAGCATCTGATTGAACAGTTAAGTCTAATTGATTTGACCTGCAAAATATTGGGACTCGCCAATCTTCAGGCATTTCGAACATAATGGGGCCGATGTAAGTGAAAGTTTCAATTTGTGGCCAACTTGTAGAAGAAAGGTTATTTGGCCAGAGCTGGTAAAATCTACTGGGACAATCACTTCAGATGCAGAAAGTAACACTTTTGACTATAAATAAGAACTCTGCAGTCACAGTGCTGAGAATAAGAGCTCGCAAATGTTTTTCCTCACATTTATTAATGAACAAATCTGAGTTTCTTCCTTTTTCTGTCTGTCCCGCCTCAGTGCAAACCTTGGCACTGCTGTGTGCAACTCCATTTTGATGCTTGATTGAAAAGTCATTAGTAACCCAGTGGACATTTATTGTGAAATACGTTTGAGCTGTATCCCCAACCTCTTCCCCTGCCTTTTTTCCACAGTTTCTATTCCTCTTGACTCTTGTTTTCTCCGTTTATCTCCTGGTAACCCTTGTAGGTGCCAAATCTCAGGCTTCTTTACTTTTCAAAGGCTGTCTTCCTCTTTCTCACTCCCACTTTTAACTCTCATCCTCTCTTCTGGCAACCCTCTCTTGTCAGCTTCAGCCCTCGTTATCACCATCACGTCTCATGTGTAGCTCTTGCCGTCCGCCCGTTCCGTCATCTCCGTCTCCCCCCATCTGCACCCCTAACGATAATTGAGAGGTGAGTAAGAGAGACAAATACACAGGCTGGGTTTTGAATGTCTTGATCCCTGGCATAAATGTGGTCCAGGGTTCAGTGGGCAATCAGGCGAAGGGAAGGCGGGGGCAACGGTGGATTTGACTGCAGTGCCATTCATTGGTTGCATTTGCTGATGCCGTTCACTGGCTTCTGCAGTGGCCCCTCTTTTGTCAGGATGTGGGCATGCCTGCTCTTTGGCAGTGATTAAAGCTTGGAACAACTTCCACAGCCCAACTCAAGACCCAGCTGCTGGGAGTGGGTGAGAGAAACAAGAGAGAGTTTTATTATCTGGTTGCCTCTTAGCTAATCGAGGTTTGTTTATATTTGAAGATAAGAGTTACACAGGAGGACTTTGGTTTGTAGAATTTGATTAAAAGTTAGGATTTTCCTGTAACAGTATATTCACTTATGATTACGTGATTTCTGTAGGATTAACTTCACACAGCATTTATCTTTTGCCTATCTGATAAAAGAAGAAACTGAAAATTGATGCCATTATGGAGAAAAGAAACCTTGTTGGTGAGCTGTCGGACAGGGTTTATGTAAGCGCTGCCAAGTCTCTATCCTTTTTAATCCTCAGGAAGTTTGCTGCTGATTGTGAGAGAAAAATACGGTAGAGAAAAAAGAGAGGGGGGTCTCTGCAAATGTAAGCTCTCAACACAAATAAAGGAAACTACCAACCTCACTCTTTCTTATAGTAGAGGTCCGGACCATTCACATGCAGCTCCCCCTCTCTCCACCTCTTCTCAGCTTTTCCTCTGTCCTTCTCTGAATTCTGTGGAGGCCGTTTATTTGTGGGGGATAGTGCTGTGGGCTCCAGATGCTTGACCCTGTAGTCAGGTTGCCTGGTCACATGGATCTACAACTGTTTGCCTGAACTTGTTGTTTTGCATCTAGACAAACTTTAAAGGGCTGCTACTGCTTTTTCACTCATTAGTCTGCTGTGCATTCTCATTCAGACTTTGTCACATGGCTGGGGGAAATGCTTCCATAAGGTATCTGGCGAAGAATATTGAGGGAATTTCGGGTTGTATTATGTCCACCAAAGTGCTGTAATTTTAAATGATTTTTCTCAGCTGAGGCTTTGTCTTGTGTATGTCAGTTAGGGAAGGAGGAAGTTGGTGTAAATGTTTAGATTTGTGAGCATGTGGGAGCATGAAGCTGGGGAGAAAAGAAAGATGGTGAGAGGCACGTACAGTAAATCTTTCTCCCTGTAAATGGGCCTCAATTGTAGGAGGGGAGTGGAGCTGCAGGAAGGGTGTAATACACACACACACACACACACAAACGCATACAGAGAAACACAAAACAGACCACAATTGACACGCTAAGCAAAATTATAACTACCTGTTAATCTGCATGTGTGCACAGTATCAAGCACAACCGTTTCACTGCATATCAAGCATATTAAAGTCATTATCATTAGAGCTGGGAGCTGAAAAAAGAGACTAAAATCTGTGTTTTGTTTAACTGTTGCTGCTTTAGTCCCTTATCCTTATCTCTGCTTTCTCATCGATCAAAATATGAGCTCACTGGTTGGATGGCGGAGGATTTCTTTGAGGTAGGAAGTGATTCTCTTTCATATGGAAAGTGTGTGGCCAGCCTACCTTCTTTCACCTTTAGTATTCAGCTCATGCTTGTGATTGGGAACATTGTGTTGCGTGGAAATCATGTGAAAGAATAAAAAAAAAACAAAAAAACATCAGTGACAACAGTGAGATGCAGCTAGAGACAACTCCTCAGCACACATCTATGCTCCAGAATCACTGCAAGATTTTTTTGGGTTTACATCTGACAGCAGAGTGCAGCTGACTGCAGACTCACTTTAGAGATAAAGGAGATTTGATCATCTGAGGAAACAGACTTAGGTCTTTGAACTTTGCCTACTTTGTCCCTCTGTGCAGAGATAACTCTGGAGTCCCTCCATGTTGGCTAAAGTTAGGAGTGTTCTTTCCCCCTTTTGACACAGAGCCCCATTTACAATTGTCCTTTTGTTTCTCTTCTCTCTCTGAACTTTCCCTGAGCCCTTTTTTTTTTTTACCTCTGTCCTTATTCATCTCTCCACTTTTGTTTCTGTCCTGTTTCTGTATTTCCACTGTTATGTCTTCTCTCATTTCGTTTTCTTTTGAGGTCATCCCTCACACCCAGGGTTGTTAGCCACTTTAATTTTGGATCAAGTGTCATGTTGGTAAAATACAAAAGTTTTAACTCCAGGTAGCACACATTTCTTACTACATTCCTATTTTTCGTAATAACGAGCAATGCACCTTTGTGATTTAACATTTTTGGAAACTAAATATTGATGCTACCCACCCAACCCCCAACAGAATACAACTTAAATTGACGGGCCTCTGTCTCCACCTCTCTCTCCCTCGTTTTTCAGGAAACCTAATGGAGACTATCGTAGCTCTCCCATCTCCAAGGACAGGAGCCGGAGTCCCATTGAACGTGTGGTGGTGCCCAGTGCACTGGGAGTCCACAGCAACCACCTGTACAGCCAGGCCCACCACCACCAGCACCTGGCCAGCTTAGCCAGTATGGACCAGCCACTGGCACTCACCAAAAACAGCACAGTGGAGTCTGCACGTAGCAGCACAGCAGCTATGACCATTGTGCCGCACGCAGTCAGCGCCATGGAACGCCAGCAGGTAACGTGCACATCCTGTTTCCTTAGTCTCAACACATCTTTCACAAATTGTCTAATAAAACTGCAACTCTGGTGATGTGACCAGTCGGCTTTCATCAGCCCTAGTTCCTTGGTTGGTCAAGAGTAGAAAGTTCCCATTTGGTGTGTTAGCCAAAAACATTTTAAAACCCCAGAGGTCACGTAATCATTCTCTCTCACTCGAACCTCAAACCTGCTATTGTACTGTCTTCTTTAATATTTCCCACTTTTTTCTGTTTATACTTATGTTTTTTATTATCTCCTTTTACATCTTTTTTAGGCACATTGTGTTATATTGTTGACCAGAAATCTTGAGAGAAGAGGTTCAGGTTGGTTTTGATGTGCCTTAGTAAGGTTGGTTGTTTGTATTTCTGTTTTAGAACCGTCCTTCAGTGATCACGTGCGCCCCAGCCAGCAACTGCAACCTGTCTCACTGTCCAGTCTCCCACAATGGCTGCTCAAGCCTCACTAACAACTACAGGAGGAACAACAGTGAGTGCACTTGGGTTTAAGCAGCAGTGAAGGGTGAACACAAGCTCTCGGTATTTAATTCTAATCATTAACAAATGACCTATATTGGGCACACTCATTTGAAAATTGGATATCATTTTGGAAACAAACTTATTTCCCAGCGAGAGCTCCAAAAGAGCACATCACCCTCCAGAGAAAACACTGCAGATCATACTCTCCACATTCAGACTGACTTATGTAATTAGGTTAAAAAAAAGCATCCCAGTTTTCTATTGGTGAGTGTCAGTTACTGTTTATAGCATGTCAACTCCTTGATGAAGTGCACTTTATTTACTACCTTCTGTTATCTGTTATCTCTGTACTTGAAGTGACTTGAGGCTTCAGTCAGCACGTCTGTTTTATTAGTCCATTCTGAGACAGTCATGTTTTCTGTGGGTTGACAGATTTACTGTGGCTTTTTTATGATCCCAGTGAAATCCCTATGATCTCATTGAAATTCACAATGAAAGATTTAACTGTGTTTTTATATATATATTAATATATATAAAAAAGGATTGCAATGAAAAACTAAAGTAGACGTTTGAGTCAGTATGTTTCCATTGACCTAGAATGCAAAATACCAATGTTTAAAAAGATGTTTGGCAATACATTGCCCACTAACTGTTACAAGTGAGATTAAGAGATGATTATCATTTCATTACGGGAACTAAAAACTCTCTCTTTCCTTCCTGTCCTGCCTCTTGTAGCCAACACAGCGTGTGACCCTGTGATAGAGGAGCATTTTCGCCGCAGCCTCGGGAAGAACTACAAGGAGCCTGAGCCCACCGTCACCAACTCTGTGTCCATCACAGGCACAGTGGATGACCACTTTGCCAAGGCGCTAGGCGAGACCTGGCTGCAGATCAAAAATAAGGGGAGCCCCTCATCGTCCGGCAGCAGCCCAAATTCCTCCCCTGACAGTCACATGGTCAATCACAACCACTCCCCTTCTGTGGTGTCCTGAAGGTGCAAGGGTTCAATATGGGTGTGTCCATGTCCCTTGCCCTTCCAATCATCCCAGCTTCATCATCCACACCCTTGTCACTCTTGGTCTGTCACCAGCATCCCAGAGGGAGTGCTTGCCTGTTGGTCTGCTATAAACAAGCCCGCTCTCTCTCTATGCACTCATAAAAGATCAATCAAGCAATAACAAAACAGCCATTTTTTCTCCTTCTGTCCGCTGGTGTGCTATTGACAGGCAGTAAACCGGTAATGAGTGATGAAGGTTTGACTGAGGGACTGACTGGAGCATCAAGCTGCTCCTTTTAATCATTCATCATTGCTGCATATCAAGCTTGGAGCTGAGCAAGTGTCTGTAGTTATATGTACATAAAGAGAGAGAGGACAGGCGACATTTTAATTATTAATTTTGTTTGTTTCTTTAACAGTAGATTTGAGTAGCGCTTCTGCATTATAAGATGCCTGACAATTGAAAGAAGGTGAGAGAGAAACACTTTAGGAGACAATAATCACAAACCACCTGACTATGCTACCAAAGAAACCTCAGATGCTGATGTTTATCAATGCCCACCTCAAAATCAACACCACAAAAAATCCACGTTGTGACCACCGCCCTCTGTTTTATCGTTTCTCCTTTTCCCACCTTCCTTGGCACTCCCACTCTCTCAGGTGTATGAGTTCTGGTGATTTTGTTACTGTATGTGTATACTTAAGTGAACGACTTGGTCTGATTTACACTACTCTCCGAGGGTAAATGGCATGTTAATATTGCAATCTGGCACTGCACACACTGGGACTGCAAACTGATCAAATCCAGCTTGCTTGGGATTCTAATGGTTGAAAACGTACCTGGGCATAGTTTCATCCTCACCATGACAGAACAGTACAAGCCTCATTATTATTATGGTATTTACTGAATGCATTTCTGAAAAATGGAAAAACATAAATTGGCTAAAATATGAAAAGTTATATGAATTTGGATACCATTTGTCCCAGTATAAAAACAGTGTCAGTGCATGTTGATTAGTGCAGCTGTTAACTGAAACATGATTGCATGTTCAGAAAAGGTGGGCGAGTTAAAGGTTGCTTATATCGCCACCTCACGTCTGACTATCTAAAACAAAGCCATACCCTGTTTGTTCATCACGTGGCTGTGCCTGTGTAACATGTTAACTCAACGGTTCCCTCCCCACCAGCACTTAACTACGGAGTGTCAATCTGCATCAAGTGCAGAGAGCTCTCCATATTAATGGAAGGGGTATGAACAGTCAGGTCAATTGGCCACTCTTCAACATCCATTATCATGGATACAGATGGAAACATTAGTCACCCAGCTGCTACCCAGAACAAGGGTACAAGTCTGGCGAATTAAGGACAGACTTAGGTTTCACCTTCCTGTTAAAGAACAAGTTCAATGTATTAAGTGCAGCAACATCTGCAGTACAGAATATCCTGGGAGCAATAGAGAACCTAAAATCCCTCCACTTCCAAACTGGAGTGGAAAGTATGAGGTGGTAGTGGCCAGAATAAGTTTCTTCATCCACTTTTTTTCACCATGCAAATGTGCATTCTATTGACATTATGAAGATAAATGATATAACTTGATACACAGTAAATCATCGGCTTTTAAAGTCCACAGGGATAGTAAATGCATCATACCTCCCAGCCCAACATATTGGTTTCACTTGTAGGTTGCGAGACCAACGCTCAGTACAAATTTGTTAACTGCAGTGTTGAACGGTATTGGCATGGATAAATATTTTGCTGCCCCATTGAAGCCAAACAAGAATACTTCTCATGTTTAAAGGCACAGTCGGGTTCATTAGGCTGATCACTTCAGCTGGTGTTGATGACCATTCTAGTTATTATGAGGGGAGAGTAGGACTGAAAGCACTTGTACAGCCTGTAGGCTGTGTAAGGTTGGGCTTTGCTGAACAATGTGCTTTGATGTGTTTCACAGGCTTAACTGCTGACAGTGATGAGGCGATAGATGACACTTTGTGGTTGAAAGAAAAAAAAAAAAGTCTGGTTCCTCAACCGGGGGAGAGAAGATTATTCAGATCTCTTCAAACACTCCTTTGTTTTTTGTTAACTCTTTGAACATGGGGGTTGTAATTATATTTGGTTTACACCCTGCTAATCCCTCCATCACCCTACACACTGTGGTTTGGTAGATTTCTATGAAGTTTGAAGGGTAAACTAATGCTTTTACAGATGCATGTTTTTTTTTTTTTTTTTTTGGTTTTAATAGCTGGTATCTATTAGTGTTTTTAAGCATTTCAATCTTAACTAATAACCTTTTCATTCGGACGTTGTTACTTCTTTTGTTGTCAGTAACAGACATAGACACTATACACTCACTGCTGGGTCAGTTGTACTCCATATTATTGTTATTGTTGTTATTACAATTTTGTATTTCTTGTTTTCCATTAATATCAGCATGGTAACAAACCTCTATAGTGGAACAGCCTCCGGACAGGCTGCGTTTAATGATGAGAGTTCCCCAAAACCATTTCGGCACGACAGTCGATTAGCTTTTCGCTCCTGCAGAGCAGTGATCGTTGTAGTGTTGAATTGGCTTTGGGATACCCAGCCCATAAAGGTTTTCGTAAGATGTTGATCCATCGGTGGTACAGGATGCTACGACCTTCTGTGTAACGAGCTGAGACGCCAAATTGGCACAAATTAGTCTGCAGGACCTTTCCACAAAAGCATCATGCAAGTCTTTTTGGCTGTTGTCTTTAAATCATGACCTTACATGCACTCTTGCTGTAGTCTCAGAAGGTCTAGATCGAAGCCAAGGTAGCAGGCAAGGATGCTTTTGGGAAACAGTACTGTTTATGATAAGAGCTAGTGGTGATGGCTCTCAAACATCTTGTTGACTAAAGTGTTTAAAGAACTTTTGTGTTACTAAAGAACAAATACTACACCAATAGAATTGGACAACATCAAGAGATGATAAACAAAAAGGGTTATCTGAATTTATCTCAGCCCTTAGCAGTTGACTTTTTTGTGTCCTGACTTGGTGTCCAGCCTTTTTTTATTTCAGTGCATTCTTTTCTGAACAAAATTTTATTGATGCTGCAAGCAAGCTAGACTGCTGCAGTTGGAGGAAATGAAATTTATTCTGTAAAAGAGCCTGCGCCAAGGTGGCATACATTCCTCCGCTAGGGAACTTGATACAGGCCTTGTACACACTCAGTATCTCCAGATCAACAGACAGAGCTAATAACTAGCCAGAGCCACTTGTCCCAGAGTTGCCTGCCAACAGCATTTCTTGTTCCACTTCATTTCTTTTGGTCAAAAATCCACATTGTACAGTATGACAAAGGAACAACCAGTGCTGTTAAAAAACTGAATGTAGAACTTCAGAGAACTCCTGTAGGGCTTTGGAACCAACAGAGAACCAGTTCAGTTTGGGCACCACAGAACAAAACACCCTGAAGGGAACCAATGAGAGCTAAGAGAACCAAAAACAAATCAGATAGCGTTTCTTCAGATGACCAGGCAACAAACATCTCCCTTTTGCTACTTCTTCTTCTTGATTTGTTTGGCATTAGGCAAACAAACTTACAGGTGTGTGTCCATTTTGTTTTTTTCTTTCCTTTGGAGGTTTAATAAACCTGATGCTGATAGCGTCACCATACCAGTTCAGATTGGCCAGGTATCTGGGTCCTGCTGGGAACCTTAATCCTGGGTTCCAAACCAACCTATTTTTGGTCAAAATGCTCATTACTTACTTTGTGAATAAGAACTTAACCGGTTCTTTGTTGGTCTAAAAGCCCACTCAGAGAACTGAACCTAAGAGTTCAGTGTCATTCTGTAGTAAAATAATAATTTGTCTCTCTCAGTTTATGGATAACAAGGTTCATATTTGTTTGGGTCATTTTTATCAAACCACGATGACTACATCCATTACCGGACATCAAATGGAACGCTTTCTTACTGTTCTAGAATGTTCCACACATTCCATCCCCAGCTATCAGAACTGGCAGTTGTGAACCGGAATTGAGGCTAAAAAGATCTAGAATCTTCCATTGCCTAAAATGTTGAATCATAACCCAATGACACATACTGTGTCTATTCTCTGATATAAATGTGTTTTCTGTGACAGGTTCAGAGTGGTTTGGATGGAGATTATTGGTGGTTTGGCTGATTTGTGGGGAGGGGGTAGTTTCAGGAGCTGAGCTTCTGTAAGCAGTCTGTGAGCCAGGAGACTTTTCAACTGCCACTGAAAATCTTTTCACAGTGAGGCCTCCTCCTCTCAGATTAAGTTGACTCTGATTAAGAGTTGATGTAGTTGGCAACATACCAGAAAACATGAGGGAAAGTGCTAGGTGTCAAAAGGATTTTTAAAAATCTTTTCTCATTATCATTTCACTATCACCCTGTAGGTAGGAGGCTCGCTTTCAGCTTTGGCACACAGTCCCTACAGACTGTAGGAAAATCATTTAATTAAAAGGATACTTTTTTTTAATAATAGGTAACTTTAAGACCATCATTACGCTGTGCGTAACGAATGTACAGAGGGGAAAAAAATCGTAGCTATTTTTTTGAGGATCAGTTAATTTGTTAATGATATGTAGCTATTTAATTGTTTTTCCCTGTCCTTATATTGTAATCATTGCATTCTCTTTTTTCGTGAAAAAAAAAAGTTGATCTTTTTTGTTTATAGTTTGTCTTGTTAGAGTAAAAGTTCAAGTGCAGGAGCACAGTATAAATCCACAATCAGCCACTGGTGTGTCAGTGACAATCGCTACTTCCACAGGGCCCCAGTGTTGTGCCATTGGGGTCGACATTTGATCATGTGACTTCTGAGCCATCTAAACAAACGTTTTATCCTTTCTACGGGCTCTTGAGCAGGTAACGCGTTTTGCATTGATGGAACATCGTAATTTTGCCTCTAGCCCATTGCATCTAATCAGCCATTTCCATTTAACTATAAAAATCACCATTAGTCATGGGCTATCAGGCAGGTAGGTTTTGCACCACTGCATGTAAGCAATTTAAAATACGGAATTTCAAAACTTTTTGATGGCTGGTTTTATAGATGGGAAATGAACTACAAATAAAACAGTCATTTTCTCCTATTGGTTTGACTTGTCTGAACACTGATATCATAACATTACAACTGAATAGATGAAAATCTGACGGCATTTCTGTAAATATTTAGTGCTCGAGTTCATCTGCTTTGTTGCCTGTCAGGCTGAGAAGTTGGATCTAATGTCACAGTTTCCATCTGTGAAGGCAATTTAGCATCTGTAAACATGAAAATGATGCAAGTAAATCAAAGAGGAGTTGGTCTTTACTCTGACTGTGCCACAGTTTCCAGGTCTTTTTGAAGTGGAAGTAGCATGTACTTAGTGGTAGTAATACTCTGAACTG